TCTCCAGACCTAGACATAATCTATAAATAGTTAAAAACATATATAGAAATGGCCTAAAAACCTCCTATAATTGGCCCTAAAAAACCTGTAAGATGCTGGGGGGGGACAACCCCTCACCCCACCAGCCATCTCCATAATATCTTAGGGATTTTCAATGAGAAATTAAAGAAATATGTATATTAAGCCACAAAAATATTAAATTCGCTGAAAAACAAAAAAGGGATACAACAAGCTAAAAATTCTGCCACTGTCTATCTAACATTGTCTGATTTCTAGGACTTTTAGTAGCTAAACAAATAATTTCATATACTACCTCATCCCTGCATTGAAAAGAAAAAAAAAAATCTTGTATGCACAATCAATGACATTTTCAATCTTGATCTGTAACTGATATCATCAGAATGTTACCATAAACATAACTTCATAAAGAAATCATATAATCCAATTTATACTGTTTAAAGCCAAAAGCTGAGATACTAACATCAGCCTGTATAAGAAAGGGTTTGAATTTTTTTAGCACATTTAACTACAAATATTAACACTGTGCTGTTTCTCCCACCCATTTTGTTGCACCATGACATCTGACTCTGTCACAAATCATGTTTGCTGGCCACAAATTTACTAGACTCACTCTTTTCTGTATTGTCCATAAAACTTTCATACCGTTCCTTAGCTTTATTCATAACTGTATTTGTACTTTTTACATTTTCTTCTGCTCTGATCCTTCGTTCCAAGATTGAGTGCCTGCTCCATCTTCTCTATATTTGAGTCATGGGCTGTATATGAAAGTTTAAGTGATGGTGCTATTCCACTTCTTACACTTGTTATAACTATTTTTCTTAACTGATGCAATTTATCTTTTAACTATTTTTTTCAAGACTGTCACAGATCTAGAGTACTTAGCAATACATATCTCTTCACCTCTGACAATACACTTGGGGTCCATCTTATCTCCAAAGAAATCAAACCACATGGTTTTTCAACTCTTAGTAGTACACGCCTCTTCAATTCTAAAAATAGGCTTGGAGGCATATTAACTCCAGTAAGATCAGACTGTGTGATTATCCAATTCTTGTGAGAAGTGGAACAATCCCAACACTATGTGACTGCAGATACTCACATCTCTGAATTTATACAAGGCAAACTGAGGCACAACACATTTCATTCATTTTCCCTTTCATTTATTCAATTTACAGCCATAGACCAAAAGGAAAAAGAGAAAACATGTTTTTTTTGTTTGTTTGTTTAAAACGTGACTAAAAGAAAAGTGAAAGACAGGAAGCAATTAGGATTTTTTTTAAAATCTGGGCAGAATATTTTTCCTATTGAATCAAAATTTGGCTTCTGATCTTAAAGACAGCAAAGCAAAATTTGGCCATTGCAAGAAGTAGGATTGTATTGATCAGCCAGCAGTAGTTGAATATAAAAACGGTCTGTAAGTCCTGGGAAGTCCACTAAAAGAGCAATGTACCTGTTCCTAGTATCTCTGTAGAAGAAGCAGTATGATAAAACATAGCTTAGGGATTCCATTGCGTTCAATTCACAAGGACATAATGGGCCATTATAAGGGACTCTTCTGAATTTTCCTTCCAAGGCAGCAGTAGGCAAAGCATCAGAGCAGGCCAGGGTGAAGAATCTTCTAAATGTAGGTATTGTTACAGTATATAGTTCAGGTAGCTTGCTGGCTTCCACATAGGAGCACAGAAAATTGCATATATGGGGGAATTACTGTAATGTACACTAAAAATAAATTAACAGATTAATGCTGCCTATAAACAATATAATAAAAAAGAAGCAGAAACATTATTACAAAAGTCTTGATAGGACAAAACTATTTTTATAGTTTTGGAAAAGAATTGATAGAGATATTTAATTATCATGAAGTGGGGCACTCTGTAAGTGAAATCAAAGAAATCAGTACTGTAAGAGAAGATCAATATAAATGCATGTAATTTTATTCTGTTATTTAGCATATTTGTTGTATTTTGCTTTTATGATTAGTTGTGGACCATAAATAAATAAATAAGTAATAAATATGATTTTTTTTTTTTACTTTGGTAAGTAAATAACTGAAATGGAGTGGGGAATGGATTACAAGAAACTGAACCACTATAATTTTTTTAAGCTAGTACAAGATGTTAAATTAAATCCTGAAGTAAAAGTGGAAGTCAAAATAAAAGAGAAAGATACAAAAAATAAATAAGAAAAACATAAAAAGTTGGAGTGAGCATTCTCATTTTTATGACTGAACCCTATGAAAGAGGTATTGTTTAGTGGGGAAGGCTGTCCCGTAGCAGAGGAGCTACTGTCTCACTATGAAGTTCCTACGTTTTCCAGCCATGATAAGTGTTAAGTAAGCATTGTATGCAAGCCACAGTTATGATTTCATTATTTTAACATATCAGGATCAGAGGCAATACACTGAAAGAGTATTGCCTCTGAGATGCAAGATGAATGAGGCCAGAATACAGAAACTCTCATGTTTTGCTCCACATCATACTAAGGCCTGAAATCACTGCAAGGTGATTCAATGCTCACCAAAAAGGATCACAGTACGTTTTTTAAATTCCAAAGATAGAATCTCCAAAGCTGAGAATCTCACAATTTTAGGGGCTTTCTCCTATGTTTTTGGCTTCACAACTGAAGTACTGTATCTAGTATGGAGTAGAAAAGGTTTAAAAAGGCATCCTTAACACAAAGAACAAGTAACTATGGGGATAAATGTTATCCATAGATAAGACAAATAGTGTCCCAGTGCAGCTTCTTCTAAGGTGGCTTTTTTCTAAGTTTTATATACTGTATGATCTGGATTTTTAAAAAAATACAGCAGTCTTCTAGCCAATTTAATATGGTTTGATTGTTTGATTTTGATTTAGGATGTTCTTTGAACTCAGCCATGCTTGTTTGTAGATCACAATTTACATGGTTCACATGAATGAACTAGTTTATTAGCATGTAACTCTCAAATTAGCTCACACTGTCTCATTTAATTTGAGACTCACATCTATCAGTGGTTAGGGTAACATATCACATTGTCAGGATCCGCTTAACTAAGGTTTCTTAAATAATTGACTGGGTTCATACTTACTGTATATTACATAATGCACATATTACAGCTTATTATGATGTACAAGTTCAGACTATGACACAGTTCACATATATTACTAAACCATAAATATGGTTTGTTTGGTCTTTGCTTAATGTAATGTAATCTTAATGTAATTGTAATCAAACAATATTTGAGAAGTATTAAGTTATCATAGCAAATGCATTGTCATAATATGGATTTTGGATTCTAATTTATGCTTGAATATTCAGAATTTACATTTGTATGTAATGATTTTATAAATTAATTAGTTCATATTAATTGAAGACAAGAAATAAGATAAAGTTTATAGAGCTTTAAAAAATTGTCACCAAATGTGAAGAAATATATCACAAGGTACATGCAAGAGATTTTGACTATTAAATTATTACAACATATTATGGTCCTGTTGGTCAAAACTCATTTTCAAATTGCAAGAATTAGTTAGTTATATTATGTAGCTCAACTTGAAAAGTCATATTAAAATGATATTCTATAAATCAACATTTAATGAAAATGTTTACAAAAACTGTTCCCAAAACAGTTTTTCAATAATTAGAATGGCCTCTGGGGGCCTCTACTGGAAACATAGCAATATTGCAGTTAAATATTACTATTTAAGCAATACCCAGAGTAACAGTGTAGTTGTTGAACAAAAGCAAATACATAATACGTTTCC